CACCCCAAACCCGTTCCGACACCCCAAACCCCTGCGTTCTACCCCCCGGCAGTTACTGTCCGCAGGAGGCCAGACACTGGTACATAAACACCGCCTTTAATGGTTGGACAAAAGCAATGCCGGGAAGCGTACAGAGGTGACCATCTCCGTCTTGTCCTGCGCCCCGCTGTACAGCCAGAGTGGCACAGTTAAGGCTTAAACGTTTCAGTTACTCATGGGAATTGCTGACATGCTATATTAATATTTACATCCACTCGAAATTATATAAAACACAAGCATTTTATTATTTTTGAGTTCGACAGTATTGCTTAGAATTACAAAATACAGCAATGTCCGAAATACTGAAGGTTTCGTAAAAGCAGCAATTTTTCTCCTATTCCAGTCTTAACTGCCCAGAAAATTATGAAAATAAAAATATTTACCATGTTACAGAAGCCACAGATCTAGGAACATGACCATCAAGTCACAGAAACATAAATGCAACTGGTCCCTGGCAGGTGAGCAGGACACTGCTAAGGGCTCGAGGTCTCTGTGCTCTATGGATTAGTCTTTTTCTTTCCTCCTGGTCAAAAAAACAACGGTGTGTGTAGATAGAAATTCAGAAGGCAAACTGGCTTTGTGATGAACACATCAGTGCTTCTGTTATAATAGTGCAGAACCACTTTGGTGACGACTGATGAACACACTGATACACATCATAACAACATGGTGCAATTCTTCCCTTGTGAAGGATCGATGAAGAAGTATCACCATTTTCCTACATGTGCTTAAATACAAAGTTCTTAAAGCCACATGTGAAATTCCAACCTCTGCAACGTACACCCAGCTTATTTTGTCACAGTAGGCACTGTGTGTACTTACTCAGGTTGAATTTTGCTTTAATAATTCAACTGTGTAACTGGTTTTGGTCCCCACGTGCAAAAAAAACTACTTGGAGCATTTTTTCCCTTTCTCTTTTTCTTTCACTTGTTTGTCAAGGATAGACCATTTTTTAATTATTTTTTTTTAAGTGCATAACTATTCAAGTACCTAGCCTATGAAAATCTATAAGCTGCTTAAAATATCAGGAAGAAATTCCAAGGAAAAACATTTTCACAATCAAAGATAACATTCTGCACTTTTTTTTTTAAAGATCATATAAAAAGAAATTGATAGCATATAGGTTCTCAAATTTATATTAAACAAAAAAATTCCTGTTGTATTCAAAAGTAGTTTCTCAGCATATGCAAACTGTGTTTATCTTCCCTTATTCAGAATATTCTTCAGAATACATTAATTTAGCCTATAAAAATACAATATGGACAAGTTCTTCTCATTCCCTGACATAAGAATTCACAATTTTGACACAAAAATTGTAAACTTTTATTACATTCAAAACACATTTCTTAAGTCTTTAGATTTTAAGTTCTGAGGTGACGGCAGTCAGAGCTCTTGGTATACAGCAGAAATGCATTATTGCAGAGCCTTTGTACAGAAACAGCTTTCTAAAGTTAAGAAAAACTTACTCTTCCCTCTTATTTTTGTTGCTACCAGGATGAAAAGAAAGGCTTCCTGCTATGAAAGGTCTGTGTGAATGCATTACTCAGGTGAACAATCCGGCCCTGACTTCCAGTGCTACTTCGCTCCACAATCACACGTGGCATCTGAACAAGCTGAAGGGGACTTTTCTCATCCTTTAACGCCTGAGTAAGGTTTAGTATCTAAAAGAGTAAAAGCACGTAAGGTGAAGGTAAGTGAATAAAACTGTGTCTATCAGGCTTACAAATTTAGATACCACTCTTAAATCACTTTTGTAGGACTGCGCTGTCAAATTATTTTTAAAAGATACTCTATTGCAAGTAGAGATACTTTGTTTACTTCATAACATTATGACATCCTACTGCTATCTGATTACTCTTCTATTCTTGAATACTTCATGCAATCCTCTGAATTTTTGGAAAATTCTCAGAAAAAATTCCAAGAGCATTTTAAATTTAGCATATCTCTTAAAAGCACTGCACATTTAATGAAAAAATCTACAAGAAAGCAACTAATATGTATTTTAAATAAGATTTATCAGGAGTTTAGCTACAAGTTATTTTCATATCAGAAGATATGAAGTCATATTATTAACACACACTAAACCCAGTGCTAAGATCCAAATTCAGCTCTCAGCTCCCAGGAGCCTGTTACACAGTGATCACAAACTGCCCTGATAATTTAGTCCATGTTCAACATTATCCTGC